AACGAGATACGAAAAACGAGACAAGGAAAGGAGAAATAAAAAATGATAACAAAAAACGTGACATAAAAAACGAGAACACGACACAAAAGGAGACAAGAAAACGAGAAACGAAAAACAAGACAACAAAAACGAGACAAGAACAGACATGAAAAACGAGACACAAATTGAGGCAAGAAAACTAGTAAAGAAACACGAGAAACGACAATCAAAGGACGAGAGACAGAAATAATAGACAAAAATCGAGACATGATAAACGAGACCCTAAAAACGAGATAGAATAAGGAGACACGAAAGACATGTAACGAAAAAACGAAAACAATGACACGAAGAATGAGACACGAAAAATGAAACACAAAAAAACTAGACACGAAACACAAGACATGAGACGGGAAAACGAGACACAAAAATGAGACACGAAAAACGAGAAACGAAAAACTAAATACAAACTTCAAAAACAAGACATGCAGGAAAAACAAAAAACGAGACACGAAGAGAGAGATATGAACACTAAGCATGTGAAACGAGACACGAAAAACGAGACAAAAAAACGAGAAACAAAAAAATATACACGAAAAACCTGACACGAGAAACGCGACACGAAAACGAGAAACGAAAGTTGAGTCATATAAAATGACACGCGATTACAGAGACACGAAAAACGAGCAACAAAAAAGAACATGAGAAACGAGAAATGAAAAACGAGATACGACAAACGAGTCATTAAAAAGTAACACAAAATAACGAAAAACGAGGTACGAAAGACGAAACACGAAAACGAGACACGGAACAGGTGACACGAAAATCGAGACACAAAAACGAGAAACAAAAAACAAGGCATTATAAACGAAAAACGGGACACCAAATTCGAATATTGAAAGCTCAAAACTAAAAAACGATAAACATAAATAGAAAACCGGAAAACCAAAAACCCAAAATGATAAAGGAAAAACAAATAACGAATATCAAAAAAAACGAGACACGAATATATTGACTTAAAAAACATGAATCAACAAATTAGACACGAAAAACGATTCACGAGAAACAATATCTAAAAATTGAGACCCAATAAACGAGACATGAAAACGAGATACGAACATTGAGACATGAAAAACGTAACACGAAAAACGAGAGATAACGAAAGAACTCGAAACGCAGAAAACGTGAAACGAAAAACGAGACACGAAAAACTTGACAAGAAAAACGAGACGCGACCAAGGAGAAAGGGAAAATGAAATGAAAATCTAGTCATAAAATCGAGACACAAAAAACGAGACATGAAGAGCGTGACACAAAAGCGAAACACAAAAAACGGATACACGAGAAACGAGACAAGAAAACGATTAACAAAAAATGATACACGAAAAACGTGACATGAAAATGGAGACAAGGAAAACGAGAAACGAAATACGACACGAAAAGCTAGACCCAAAAGCGAGACACAACAAACGAGACATTATGAACGAGACACAAAAATGAAACACAAGAAACGAGACACGAGAAACGAGACACGAAAAACTGACAAGTAATACGAAACAAGAAGAAAAGGAAAAAAACTAGACGTAAAACGAGAACGAAAATAGAGATGCGAAACACGAGACCCGGAAAACGAGACTCGTAAAACAAGACATGATAAAAGGGATAAAAATGTAAATACCTGACACAAAAAACGAGGCACGAAAAAAAAGGATACCGAAAAACGCGTCGAGAAAAAGGGAACAAGAAAAACGAAAAACGAGACTCGAAAGTCAGTACACGGTACACGAAAAACGAGACACGAAAATATAACACAAAAAAGAGACATGGAAAACCAGACACGAAAAGCGAGACACAAAAACCAGGAACGAAAAACGAGACAAGGAAAAAGAGAAATGAAAAAGATACACAAAAAACGACACACGATAAATAAGAGATAAAAAAGACAGACAAAACGTGACACGAAGAACACGACTCGAAACACGAGATTCGAATATCGAGACAAGGAAAACAAGAAACGAAACCGAAAACGAAAGAATAGTCACATAAACGAGACATGAAAACGAGACACGAAGAACCAGACGAAAGCGAAACCCAAAAATGTGACATGAAAAACGAGACAAGAGAAACGAGACATAAAAAACAAAAAACGTGACACAAAAATCGAAAACCGAAAAATGTAAAACTGAAACAGATAATCAGAAACCAAAAACCAAAAAATGAAATAACGAATAACAAAAATCGAAAAACAAACAAAAACACAAATTAAAAAAGCGATGAAGATCAAAAAACAAGACACGAAAAACGGAAAACGAAAAAGAGAAAAAACGAAAACGAGAAACAAAAAACAAGCCACGTAAAACAAGGTACACAAAAACAAGTCACGAAAAACGAGACCTGACATACGAGACACGGGAAACGATACACGAAAAACGTAACATTAAAAGCGGGACACAATAAATGAGACACGAAAATCGAGAACCGAATAAAGAGAAACGAAACAGGACAAAAAAAAGAAAAATGAAAAACGAAAGACAAATAACGAATATCAAAAAGCAAAATAAACAAAATTAAAAAAGATGAAGATAAAAACGAGACAAAAAAACAAGACACGAAAAACGGAAACCGACATAAGAAAAAGATAAAAAGCAAAAACGGGACAAATGACCGAGAAACAAAAAACAAAACAGTAAAACAAGACACAAAAACGAAACACGAAAGACGAGACATATAAAACGAGACACATTAAATGATACACGAAAAAGGAGAAACGAAAATCGAGACACGAAAAACGGTACACGAAATACGAGAAATAAAAAACGAGCCGCGAAATGATTCACGATAAACGAGACATAACAATCGAGACACCATCCACGTGAAACGAAAAACTAGATACGAAACACGAGACACAAAAAACAAGAGAATAAAAACGTGATACGAAAAACGAAAAACTAGTTACAAAACGTGACACGAAAAACAAGACAAAAGAACGAAACAGAAAAAAACGATTCACAAAAAACGAGGCCTGACAAACGAGACACGAAAAACCGGACACGAAATACGAAAAAAGGTAAACGAGAAACGAAAACGAGACCCGAGGCAACAGGACACATGGGGTAATGGAAATAGGAACAAATTTACAAATGGACAAATGGACAAACGGACAAACGGACAAATTGACAAATGGACAAATGAACAAATGGGCAAATGGACAAATGAACAAATGGACAAGAGAGCAAGAGAACAAATTAACAATTGAACAAATGAACACTTAAACAAATGCACAAATGGACAAATGGACAAATGAACAAGTGAACAAGAGAACAAATGAACAATTAAACAAATGATCAAATGAACACTTAAACAAATGCACAAATAGACAAATCATCAAATGAATAAATGAACAAACGAAGAAATGAAAAAATGAACAAAGAAACAATGTAGTAACTAAACCAATGTTCATTTCCTCATTTGCACATTTGTTCAACTGAAAGAAATAGGTAAGCGAACAAATTAACGAATAAACAAATCTCAAAATAATGAAGTATACAAATGAAAAAAAGTGCAAAAAGACAAATGGGGAAATGGGCAAACGGACAAATTGACAAATGAAAAATGAACAATGAAAAAAGGCATGAATTCAAAAATATACAACTGAAATATACAAACGAAAAATTATCTAATGCCCAAACGAACATAGACAGAAGGACCTAGGAAGAATGGACAGATGGACATAGGAAGACAGAAATGGACAAATGAACAAACGAAGAAATGTAAAAATGAACAAATGAACAAACGAACAAATTAAGAAATGTTCAAATGATCAAATGAACAAACAAACAAACAAATGAGCAAAAGAACTAATGAACAAATGCACAAGTGAAATGAACAAAAGAATAAAACGAACAAAGGAAAAAGTAAGCATTTGACAAGTGAACAATCGAACAAATGAACAAAAAATCAGTAACAAAATAAACAAATGGACAAATGCACAAATGACAAAATAAACAAATTAAAAAACGCAGACAAGAAATGAACAAATGAAAGAAAAGAACAAATAACAAATGTACAAATGAACAATTCAACAAATGTACAAACGCACAAATGAACTAATAAAAAAAGAAAGAAATGGACAAATGAACTAATGGCGAAAGGAAGAAAGAAATGGATAAATAAACAAATGAATTATTGAAGAAACGACAAAATGGATAAATAAACAAATGAAAAAGTTAAGAAATGAACATTGAAACAAAAAAAACAACTTAATAAATGTTCAAATGAACAAATAAACAAGTAAAGAAATGAAGAACTGAACAAATTAACAAACGAAGAAACGATGAAATGAAGAAGTGAAGAAATATAGAAATGAAGAAATGAACAAATGAACACATAAACAAATATAGAAATGAAGAAAGTACAAACGAACAAATGAAGAAATGTAGAAATGAAGAAAAGAACAAATGAACAAGAGAAGAAATAGTGAAATTGGCAAATGAACAAATGGACGAATGAAGAAATGGACAAATGAAGAAATGTTGAAATTCAAAACATTGAAGAAATATCGTATAAACATGTAGACACAGAAGACAATTTTCAATTTTACCTTGGCTCCAGACCGTCGCACTACGACGCAGAGAACTAACGGGGAAGGGAGGAATTACCAAATTTATAAGGATGCCTTACGCAAGGGGGGGGGGCGACGTGTCCAACAATCAACAAAGTGGGTGTAAAACATATACCTTTGAAATGTATACTTCTCTTTATGTTGCACAGAGATTTCATTTATGTAAGTTGAAAAATTGCAATTTGGCCATAGGATGGGGTCCCAGAAAGCATTCGTTAAATTATCTTCCAAGTTTGTATTTATTTTGTACGTGGTTTTAAGAAACTAGGCATTTTTGAATTATTTTTAAACTTTTAAAAAATATTTGTAGGAAGTTTGCTGCTGCAATTCCATCTCATTCAAAATATACCATGTGTCTAATTTTTAAAAAGAGAAATTCTGTATCCTTTTAAAAATAAATTTAATGTTTTATTTTCACAATAAATTCTGCTCTAACAATAAATCGACTATCTTCTAATATAATATATATTAAAAATACATCTATGTTTTTAACAGCTATATACTAACCGACGTGTGATATCACTTATAAAAATATAAACGCTATTCTACTTAATTACTTTGAACATATATTGGAGAACTAACTGCAATTTCTCTTATATCTTTAAAATTTTTGGTCAAATGGGTATCATAGATTATCTCTTTAGGACGTCCCTCAACTTGTACTAATTTGTAAGTTTCTGATTTCCTAATTGGTGACCGAATCACGTAATCAGTTGCAAGTCCACCGCTCGGTTTCTTCACTATCGAGGAGACCAGCATTGTATTGTTCTCTTTAAAAGTTTTAACTTGCAATTTTAACATTCCTTTCAACATCGTGGCTTTGGAGACCCTGCTCCAGAAGAATCTTAGCTTGCTGATGTCGGTTCCAGTCAGGTCACTTATAAGATCCTGAAAGTCAAAATATTAAGTATTAGTTAAATGAATGAAGATCACGACTATGTGATAACTAGGGCTCGGACTTTTAGGTGCTAAAAATCTGGAAATATTTATATGTGCTTAAAAAGTGAAAATATGTGTTTATATATATGATATTCAAATTATATCCAGTAACCACGATCGAGAGAAGTCTTGAGGAGCAATCTGAGGAAGTTTGGGAGCAAGTCGTGTTATGAGTGTTTTTGTTATCGTTCGGAGTGTCTTTACCAGAATCGAGGGTAATGTTAAAAATGGCCCTCTAACATTTTGACAGGTCGTGAACCATACGGAGATACCCGATACGGAGAAGTTCCTCCTTCGTATGTGTCCAACCATTGCATTCCAAACTGCCACGTCTTTCATAATATATCCAAAAACCCCAAAGTATTAAACTTTAAAATATTCATTTATTCACTTAAAATATCGCAAAATATTCAATAGATACAATATACACGCAAACGAAAATATTTATTTTTATGCAACTTAATGAAAATATCAATTTTTAAATGATATGCAATTTGGTATAAGAAAACAATGGGAGCTACTTGAATTTTCCCTAAATTTTCAACGCTCTTTTAAGGGGAAAATAGGTATTTACCTAAAAGTCCGTGCCCCAGTGACATGCAACCAAGCCTAAAATATGAATAAAGCCTTGCTATGTATTTCTAACTCGCAGAACCCGGCTGACGTTGTTCTCCCCTTCATCTCCCTTTCTCTCTCTTCTTCTCCCTCCTCTCCAGCGCTCCCTCTCCTCTTCCCCCACCAAAAATGTAATAGAATAATTTAAAAAGATCTCATCCTGTAGATTATGGTGTGAGGAACGTTTCTTTGGGGCCTTGACCTCAAAGGTTTGTTTTTTAATGCCCTAAAACGCCTCGTTTAGGAACTATTTAACGATATAGATTCAAAAAAGCCCTATCTGGTGGATCATTGTGGGTTGCACTGGAAATGAATATTTTGTATTGTTCTACAGCGCCATCTAGTGAATTTTTCCGGTATTGTAATAGTTATTCTTCTATTCGTGGTGGAGATGAATCTAACAAATCAGAAATAATTAAAATTGGTCCAGCCGTTCTTGAGTTATAAATGCTGAAACTAACTTTGTTTTATGCGACTTTGCTTTATATTTATAGTGCATCATATCTTCCGGAAAGTGAAAATATATTCAGTATGTAGACAAGATGGAGTACGCTCCGTTTGAGTTTCATTTCATTTCCCGTTTTTAGTTTCATTTCGTCTCGAAAATTATTCGGATGTGAATAGATCAACAAAAATGTTTCTCAATTTATATAAGTTGGTTTTCCATGGTCACTAAAAAAATACGGACCGCAACGTGTACACTTATGCATAAATGTAATGTACTAATGTAGGAGGCGGATTTTCATGACCTACAACAATGTCAAGAATTATCTATAAAATGCTCTTTATTTTCGAAATGACCTACAAGTAAAGTATGGGCATAAAAGTACAGTATGTGCGTAAAAGTTACGTAAAGATGTGATAAAAACCAGTTTAGACGAACGTTTCAAGGAGGGTACGTTACTGTTGTTAACGAGGCTTCTTGTTCAAGTACACTCAGTTAGCAAAATTTTGGTTTGGATTGTTCTTTACCAGAAAATCTCTATCTTAAGATATCCCGAAATCGGCCGAACCGAGCCTTAAAATACATACAACGAATGACATTACAATTTCTGAGCGAAGAAATTGAATAGGCTACTCAGAAATTCTGTAGATAACATTTGTTGCACCTTTTAAATATTATTTGAAGTAAGTACCATTAAAATGATATTAAAATAGATAAACTCTGCAAAAAAAGCATTAAAAATGACTAATTAAAATGGTAGAAAATGACTTATTAATCAAAATCGACAAAAAAATTAAAAAGACATAAAAAGGGGTCATTTTCTTTTCTCATAACATGAAATTAATTTCTATACTAAACGTCATTATTCTAAAAAGAAAAGAAAAAATGACATTTCATTAAAATCCCCCTGGTTATTAGTAATGCAATATTGAAAGCGTTTGAATTTTACTTCCAAAAACGATTTTTGGGAAGGGGTGCCGCACGGCATCTGCTAAAATTCCTCGTAAGAACACAAACCGAACTTGTTATGTTCCCTTAAAACATGCTTCCCAGGGTTGTGGCAGAATAGGAGAGTTGGAACAAATTAGGGATTTCAAGTAGAGTATCGCATCATTACTTATGATATGAAGCCTAAGTACCAGCACACTGCTTGAAAGAAAATATCGCTAACCGAGGGAATTTAAAATCGTATATCAGTATTGCTCGACCACTTAAAAAAAATATTTCAATTAAAAAAACAACTGAACTGCGCATGCGCGAAAAGTGGCGGAGGGGAAGGTTCCCACTATTAGAGGCTCAACTTCCCCGTCTTGAGGAGTTGCCTCGGCCTGGTCGGGCGGTGAGAAGACAGCCTGTTGCCCAACGTCCCGAACCCTAGAGTGTTGAAGCGTGAGAACTAAGTTGCAAGAGCGAATCAGTTATCGTTGCAGGCGGTCCTTGTGTTCAATTGAGCTCCTCTTCGGGAACAGATGGGAATGGCTTAGCCACGCCGCCCGAAGTAAGCGACGCTATGATGGTTTTTTCTAAGTGGTCGAGCTATATCATCGTTACTCACAATCACTTCATCCTCTCCATTTGCTGTAATGCATGTTTCGTCCTTCGTATGCAAGCCAAACTGCTGTTCTTCCTCAGTCTCTAACTTGCGACAGATGTTCCCCAAAGACAGCAGTTGGTTGCCCTTCTTTACTCTAGCTTGCAGCCACTGTCGAGTTTGTAGGAACCAAAATGGTCGCTGTCAGTCATCACTTTTAACTCATATTGCATGTATTAACAACGTGTTTCACATATATGTGTATACAGACATTGTTAGTGTCTGAAATTGAGGTTTTAACCACAGTGCGTAAAGTTGTTACGATAACCCTTTGAATAATTAGAATAATAAAATATTCAGGTAATCGAGTACACTAATGTTGATAAATATCATTATTCCAATTAAAGGCTAATTTGTTTACATTGATAACGAATTCAGAGGGGTTCATATGGAGACGATGTAAACGAAGCAGATGATGCATGTACATCGGGAGATTTTGTACAATATCGCAGTAATGTGTATTTTTCAGTTTAATTGTTGGGGAGAGTTACATTAGGATTTGGATAGGATTCGAGGTTCAATATTTTAAAATATGAGACGTTTTTACGTCTGTTGAAGGATGTTTTAGAAGAAAATCAGTGTCATTTTGTAATATCACAATAGTTGATCTTTTCATCTATTCATTATCCTTTTTTCTTTTTTTTTTTCTTTTTTTTCCTTCTTACCTCAATGGTCTCCCGACTTGTGAGCACCAAATGTCGAAGAATTTTTTTGTCATCGTCTGCTTTCATGAAGTATTTTTTCATAGCAACTTTATGCCAGGACTTATAAATGTCGTATTTTTCATTCATAAATGATAATATTTCTTCCTTTCTTCTTGTAATTTTCTCCAACTTCTTTGTAAGGATCTCTTCATCCAGCTGTTTAAATACAGAAATACCCAATTGTAATAAATTACAAAGGTTATAGATCTTTTTTATATTCATTTTGCTTACATGTTGTTAATATTTATTATTACTTATTAATTATGTATCGTTTCTAATATAAATATAATTACTGGGCACGGCATTAAGTTTATTAATGCCAATTAAAAAATAATCATAGTCATATATGTGCAGCATCCCAGGATGATACTTCCGTTCACAGATTCACAATAATATCGTTTCACTCCCGATATTCGGATTGAGTTCGGTACATAATAGTTGCAACACATAAGATTTCGAGTTCGTACGCCGTGATTGACCCTGTGTTTAAATATTGGTGAAAAAAAAATCCAATCGCATTTTGGCGAGTATTTCAAATTTTTAAACGGATAAAATTGATTCTTAAGCTTGAAATACTTTCAATAATGATAAAACGTTTCAAAATTGCTTGCCCAAAGTGGGGGTAGATTGCATTAATAAATGCCTTACATTACAATATTCAGGAAGTTTTCACATACCATCAGTTCTTGTATATAACCTTCGTCATCAGCAAATTCCATTTCAAATTCTTCTTCTTTTTTTTTCAATGCTTCCACAGAATCACTCGTTTTACTTGTACGCTTATTGTAATTATCTAGTTCTGTTTGAATATTATTGTAAAGTTTCTCAATTTCCAGATATAGACGTTCTTTCTCTTCTTTAAATTCCTTAGAGCCCTTGGGAACAAAATTACATATTACGTTTTTAAAAACAAAATCGATTTTTCTACTTAGCACAATAGTCCAGATTTTGTTAGGATTAAATACAGCTTGATTTAGGTAAATGCATGTGCATTTCTCCAGCAAGAATATAGGCAGAAAGATAAAATCTTTACGCTGATATTCCCAATTCACTTATTCTCTGGCAAATGCTATTGCGCTGATGTCGTTTAATTGGCATCAAAAACCTTACATTGACTCTGAAATTCTCTGATCAGAGTGGAAGTGGTCACATTTAAGCATTCTTGGCTCTTTTCTAAAGGGTAGTCTTATATCCTCAGAAAATTTCACACGTGACTATTTCTAATTTACTGCTTTTCAGAAACTGGTTTGAATCCACTTCAATTCAAATTCCGAAGTTTAAATGAAATGTTCGATATTGTAGAACTGGAGAATACCCTATAACGCAGCCAACGTATCTCAATGACGAGGTCAGGTAAGTGGCTTGACTTGCACTTGTCTCTTTAGAAATTTATTCAATTTGTGCTCGCAGATCGTGACAAACATTTTAATTTTTTTCTCAATGTAAATTAGAAATTGAGCTAGGAAGAAGAGGTAAACATTCATTAAAGAAGAGTAGCCAGTTCATATTTCAGTACAATATATGGTTGTTGATATAATACAGAACTCGCATCAATTCATTTGAAATAAGCAGGAGGATATGGTATTGTGAAAGCGAAGCTTATTGTATTACCTTTGTTTCTTCTTCCAATGTAAACTCTTTGACTTTTACACGTAAATTTTCAGAAAATCTTTCACTTTCTTCTATAGAGAGGTCCATAAGCAGTTTCAAGTGAGTATTACCATTTTGTCTTCTGCGTTCCAGCATTTTCATTTTCTCTTTGTGATCTCCTACCATCTTAGCCATTGACATTTTGAAATGTTCATGCAGTTCTTTTGCTCGTCTTTGCATTATTGCTAAGAGTGAAAAACAAAAGTTTTATGATTGATAGTGGAAAATCATCTGTTCTGCCCAAAACACGCGAAGCAAAATTGCATTTGGCTTGTAGTATATTTTTGTGACTGGAGACATGTAATCATCTGAGGGAATGTTTTTGAGATGGGAGGGAGTTAACTTGAAGAATGAAATAGTTTTTGAAGAGGTGTGAGTAAATTAATTTTTGCGGGTAGCAAAGGACTTTTGGGTCATTTTTTCTTCTATGAAATGGTACAAGTTTTTAGGATTATTTTGGAAAAAGAGGAAATTAAAATTTGTGAATGAGGAGATTTTTACGTAATGTGAAGGAGTAAATTTTGGGGAGAGAGGTAAATTTCGGTTTGGAGCCACGGAAACAGATTGATTGTGAGACACTATGTTCCTAGAAATCCAAATATTTTATATTCATGTCTACTTAATTCATTAAATGACAGTGACAGAACATTCAAAATACATTAAATGAGAGTGACAGAAAAAATATGAAAAAATCAGATCTATCTGCAGTCATAATATAGTTTGACATACATGTATTGAATGACGATTACCAAAAGATATTAAAAAGAATAGTAATAATAATAACAGAATAGTAAGAATAATAACAAATTTATTTTCAAATTGGGAAAAACAATATTTTAGAATACACAATATTGCTCTTTTTACTTAATATTATTTGCAAGACAAAATAAAGATCGCATTATGAGTTTCGATTGGAATATAAATGTGGATTTCTAAGCTCGAAATCTAACTGTGCATTTTTCAGTACGTATCACTCTTTTATAGATTTTTTCACAAAATAATTTTCAATACAAAACACATTTTTTCTCACTCACCCAACATTTCATCAATAGATTGGACTCGTTCTTGGAAAATCATGAATCCAATATCATTCTTCTGGTCGATTTTTTCCAGAATTTCTTGAATGATGTGGTCCTTAAAATCTAACACATTTTCAAGGCGATGCCATTTATGCTGTAACATATGAAAAAAATCATTTGCGCATTTAGTTTCTTTACGAACATAATATATTGAAGAAATTCTCTTTAGGGTGTAACTAATTTCAATAATGAATTTCTGGAACTTGCTTCAAACAAACAAGTATTGCTAGACGTAATATTTAACTTTTTAATCCATTCCACACATCGGTCAACTCAATAGATTTGAGGCGTAGTTTTGTCGGTCGCTTTTATTTTCGCAGAAAGCCTTTTCGGTCGCTTTGCGGCCATCTTCATTGCTTGGGAAATGATTCCAAACTACAAATAAAATGTATTACAGAATATTAAAAATTATATATTTTTCTAAATGGAATTTATTCTAATTTTATTCATAATAATATTCCGCAATGTTTGCTCATCTTCATTTTATTCATTTACTTATTTACATGTCCAGACTACTTATTTCACTTCACTTGAGCATAGTACATTTGCTGTTTTATTGAAACGTGATTCAAAATTATGTATCCCCTTTCACATTTTATATTCCAATTTTTCTCATGTGCTTAAATTCTAATTTTTAATATTCTATAATATATTATATTTTATTTGAAATTCGGAAATGATTTCTTGTGGGACTGAAGATGGCCGCGAAAAGGCTTTCTGTGAAAAAAAAAAAACGTACGACAAAATTATATACGTATTATTATAATGCAAATGTCGTAAATTCCACACCATATCCTACCATCGGCCAACTTGTTAAAATGAGAAATGTGAAATTCGTTTTTAAGTAGTACGATAAAATTATGTACTGCTGTGCCAAATTAATTTTTTTAGAGATAAAAGAACATACGAACTAATGTTTATAGAATGGTAGGAAGTAATGATTTGAAAAATTCTGTATTTTCTATTGGATGTATCAAACTTTCTCTTTAATCATGTTTGTGCAAGTTATTCACCAAAAATGAAGATATTACGTATACATACAAACATCACCTGGTACAAACGTGTTCAGTATAAGAATTTTAATACGCCGACACACCCTGTTTTAACTGCAGAAAACATGGCGTCCCCTAATACTGAGAGCGTCCGCAAAGAGCTCTGAAACCACAGGGCGAGCCATTCTCGGCCGGTTGCATCAACCTTCATCAGTAGTTTCAAACCACTGACAACGCGTTATATGCCTTATTTTGTTTGAACAAGGTCGATTCGTCTGATGATCGACAAAATATTCATCAGATTTTGATGGGACGGTATCCTGCCATCAACGCTTGTGTCGAGTCGTTTACAATGCTCACGCATTGTATTTCATTAACCTGGTTACTTTATTCTCTTGGTGTTCAAATGGGGCATCTGTGATATCATGGGAGATAATTGGGTTGCTTAATTGTTGTATCTTTGGAAACCAAAGGTACAGAACGAGCAATTACTCGATTCTTTTTAAATTAGACTTTACTCACGAGATTCACAAATGTAGATTACATTCCAGGAGAATTTAGAAGAAATATAACCGCGTCTGGAATATTCCACAAACAGAAATAAGTCTCCAACACCCATTTAGCAGTAGTTGACAGCTTTAACACATTTTGCTGCAGTACATTTCCTCTCTAAGACCCTAAGACACTATGTGGTATTTACACGAGTTTTCGAAGGACAGAATTTTATTTAAAATATTCAACTTTCGTGGAGATATAGAGACGATAGACTGCACATGTGTGCCAATTTTCACATAAATTAGAACAATTCAGAAACCGAAAAAAGTACATATTTCTCCGAAACCTGTGGACACAATGCCAACTTATTTGGAACATAGTAACTTATTCGTCATCAATTACATCAATTACATTAGGTTTAACAATCAATACGGAACTAGGTTATAGCCTGGTAATGTAGCCAACCTCTGTATGAGGGGAAAACATCAGCACGCATCCCTGACGAATCATCAATGTCTAACAGAGAAGTGGTGGTGAAACGTATCGATGCGTCAGTAATTTGTTCGTCAAAATGATCGCCTGAAATCATTATTTACCTCAACTTCTCTCTTGATCTCAGGCATTTTCAGAGCGAGCATTTTCTTCTTCAGGTACGGCATAAGTGTTTTCATCTGCCTTTTGCACAGATCAACCTCTTGAGATAAATGATCCTAAAAAACAAAATAATTATTAAAAATTAATTGGAACAGTTAACCGAAAGCAAATTTCTAATAGGAACATTCAGGAAATTCATTCAGTTATTCAAAAGAAATGAAATATTTTACATACTTAAAAATACTCGTAACATCTAATTTAAAAAATCAATGTTTGTTCTTATTTTATGCGCTGCCGTTGAAGAGTATTGAAGATTTTATATGTTTATGCTGACTCAAGCATCCCTGAACAGAAGCGTTACGCAACCCGCTGCACATTCAAGTATTAAGCGCGGCTTCGTTGCATATTTTGCCCCTGCGATTGTGAAATATTGGCCAGAATTATTACATGAACGTTTTCTCGGACAAGTAAATCAAATTTCTTGAAATCAGTTTCATGGCGAATGTGTGCCCAAACATGAGAGAGAAAGTTTTAACAAAAATATATTTGATAATCATGTCCAAACCAGGGCATTGAACAAACCCATACTCGCGAGAAAGTCTTTCATATATTAAAGCATATATTTTGCAGAGCGTAGCATAAAACGTGATTAACGATCACGTAATCCGAAGCATGTTAAGTGTAATTCATTCCCAAAACAAAGCATTGCCGGGTCCACTAGAACTAAATAAAATCGAGTGATACATCGAGTTAAGAGAGCGTCCCCAAATCTTTCCCCATTTTCTGAAAATAATACGTGTCACCTTTCCAAATTTTCTTCGTCTTATGTGTTCGTTAATGAACCCTATTCATTAAAAATGGTTATCTTCATAATTGTGGTTGTAGGAAGTCGCCAAAAAATTTTGATTTTTTCAATTTTCCAAAAATCAGGTCTTTCAAGGAACATGAGATCTGCACCATTCTATCTTAAACGTTTTCACACTATTCAACAACAAATTTTAATAAAAAAACAATGGAGCAGTTTCTGAAAAATGTTTAAATAAATTTAAAAATTGCATATATATCAAACAAAATTACCCGGAAGATTATCACGTTTTCAAAAATTATTACATGATCTTATTTCATTATCTATCTTTAAGGAACAAGAACTTTCATGAAGGGAAACAATCTCTATCTTTATAATTGACGTTGTAGGAAGATGCCGAAAAAAATTGAAATTTTCTATTTGAGAAAAATCAGAATTTTAAAACGAAAATGAAACATGCATCACTCTTAAAAGTCCTTCACACTATTCAACAAAAAAACTTAATAAAAAACGATGGGGACATTTTTTGAATTTTTTGAAAATGCCCCAGGCGCTTCGTGTAAAGTACCCCCAAAATTAAAACATCGGTTTCAAATTCCTAAAGCCGCGATATCAGCCAGATCAATTGGGGAATATCAATTTTGGAGAAAATCGGCTGAACGGTTTTGCGTCTAGCGCTGTTCACAGGCGGACGGAACAGCATTACATAACTTTCTCTTCATAAGAAGTATCTTTATGCGCCCTTGTAATCCTGTCAAATACTTTTAGATAAGCAACTTATCCGTAAAACTTCAATGAATTTGTGATGGAGAAATTTCTTCATCTGAAAAATAGGCGATTGGATTTTCAATATAAGTAAACGAGGTAAGATTACAATTTCCTCATTTCTGGGTTGATTTATAAAATTGATAACAAATGTCTCGTTCCGAATGTTTCCTAATTAAACTATTGTAACATGGATACTGCACTTTCAGAAGGGTCAAGTTCAAAAATAATATATAGCAAAAAATGACAAATTAAAGCTTTATTTTTCATGATTGGTTATTATTATTATTATAAATATTAATTTTCTTCACAAATTATCTGGTCATGTCGCAACAGTCAGTAGCATAGTAGACATCGTGCCCCTTCACCGCGCAAAAGCAATCGCCCAACATCCACTTATCAGTCGTAGCGTACATTGAAAGGAATGTGATATGCCGGAAAAAGAAGGATGTAATAGGCCTCTTGAAGTTTATACCTCCTATTCATCACCACTATTATAGAAAAATTGAAGTCTGCAAGAGGTATCTTTCAAGTAGGACCTTCCAGTGATGACAACTGCATCTTTTACGCAGGATAGAGGTAATAAACACATGTTTATTTGTATTTCAGGCAATTTTTATTTTATTTTAAGTATTCTTTAATTACTTACAATAATTCTGGTAACTTTTATAGTAAATATTTTGTTCTGGGCGTATTTGTTTAATAAAATAACTTGTTTTGAATCCATTCAGAATATGTCGATGCAATTCAGAATTCGTCAATACATTTCAGTTGGCAATGTGACTAAATCATTGCAAAGAGGCTTTTTAAGGGAAAGAGAGACAGACACACAGACAGACACACACACACACACACACACACACACACACATTGAATTTTTAAAATATATTTATAAAGTGCTGAAACATATCCTTAATTGTAAACAAACGAACGAGTTTATTCGAAATGTGCTGAAACAATTAAAGTCTTTTTTATAGATAAAATACTTTAACTCCATCAAACGAAAATTTTCAGTATGAAATGTTAGTCGGCTTGGCTTAGTCTCACATGTAGCCACCCGTGGTGGCTTCACGATACTTTACAGAGGCCGTGTATATCAGTAGCCATGGCTCGGATAGGTAGCTCTCCGATCAATAACAAGCGAATGCCGGAGCAGCACGCTAAAAAACACACTACGCTGACACACGTTGGGACCGCACACGATTATCTTCCTTACCCCATCCTTACACACCTACATGCAGTGCACTACCACACGATGACGGGACACCGGTCGGGAGCTTAGAGCTCGACCTGGCTGATGGGAGATACCTGGTTGGGGAAAAACTCGGCATGTAGGTCGGCGACGGAGTTCTTCATCCAGCGGGGAAATATCACCACCGCCTCCCGGGGTAAAACATGCATCACACTTACGGGACTGACGACTTTAGCCGTTGCTGCGCGCGGAACGACTCGAGCAATCAATGGAATCTCTCATACAAAGAACACGATTACGCCCTGAGGAAGGTCGCAGAACGGCGACCGAAACGTCGGCACCTTCGCCATGGACGCAGCGTCACCCGGACCGCCTAGTAAATACAAAGAACACGTGGCGCCGCGTTGCGCGTGCCGTCCACTGTCGTCCACTCGCCATGCGCTTCTCCTTGAGCCGCTCCTCCTTGGCGTCCTTCTCCGCCTTCCGCCTCGTCGCCTTCTCCTGCAGCTTGCGCCGCCTCCGCGCCTCCCTGGAGCACATCGCATCTTGCTGCACCCTTCTCCGCTGCCGGCCGCGCATCTGAGCATATATAGACTTGCATCATCGAGTATTTGTACGTTTCTCGAACTCGTTTCGGAGAGGGTGTCAGCAACAATGTCCTCCCATACGGCCATTGGACATTTTGCTCTCCTAGACAAAGATTGGGTAGGTTGAATTCACAGGAAACGAGTCAGAGGTAGATTTTCAAATAGTTCGTATATGTCTCCGACATTGGAACGAAGACAGAGGTTACAATTTGGTTGGATATGAGAAATAGGACTTTTGATAGGAAAAAAATCAATAACTAATAGTACTTCATTATTTATGGGTATATATGTGCAACATGATAGATTCTTAGCAAATGTTGTCTGAATGTCCTAGTCTGCTACATAACAATTGAAGAGACCATTGTAATAGTTATGAATGTTTATTCGTAACTACATATATATGCATTTTTCGAGACATTTAATTCATTTGGAAACAATAACAATGTTACAAACAAAGTGAAATATTTACGCTCATATTTCGTACATTAAATTTTCGTATTTATTATTCATGCCGAGTTCAATATCAAAAATATAGTGTGTATTTGTATTTTACTAAACTCTCATTTACAATGTATTAACCATTTTTATAATTATTTTTCCATACACCACTCACTCAAATGGAATCCTCAACAATTTTTTAAAACAAAATTACTATTTTAAAGTCTCATTTTCTCTTCATCGTCCTTCCACAATCGCAAACAGCAGCGAAACTACGAAACTCATGGACGGCATCGAGACACTCAACGACACTCCGGCTGCCAGATGCAGCATCGCGACCGACCTCGTGGTCCTCCGGCGCTCGGACAGCGGGTGGCCCTCGAGGTAGTTGGGGGAGAGGCGCGGGCTCTGTAGCCGCTCCTCGATCGACTCCCTGCGAGCGCGCCACGCGTCGGCCATCTTGGACGCGCGCTGCACCGCCTGCGTCACTCGCGGCGGCACGCCCGCCCCCGCCCAAGCGCTCCACAGGCACTTGACAGGCGGTTGCCCGCGCTCCGGCCGCGATTCTTCCAAAGCCTTCACAAGGAAATGCACGGAACCGCATTAAAAACCAGATGTTCTCTTAATATTATGGACCAGGGTTGTCCAAATGACCGGGTGGCTCGCGGGCCCGGAGTGTCACTTATTGAGAGCGTAGGCTTCCGCGGCCGGAGTCAGCATTTACTAGGCTGTCCGGGTGAGGCCGCGTCCATGGCGAAGGTGCCGACGTTTCGGACGCCATAATTACGCCCTGAGGAAGGTCGCAGAATGGCGACCGAAACGTCGGCACCTTCGCCATGGACGCGGCGTCACTCGGACAGACTACTAAATAGTGTCACTTATTGTTGCCCTCGAAATGTTATGTGGCGGTGCCCGGGGGTGGGGTAGGTTAAAGCCAAGCCGCGTTCTGAACGAGAGGAGGAGCGCGACGAAAATGGAACCAACGTGAATGAGCGGTGGACGAATGGTGGAGGAGTCAGGGTTGTCCAACTGGTGGCCCGGAGTGCCAATTATTGTGACCAGCAAAGGATTATTAGTCAAAAGTGAAAGATCCTTGCATCCATGTCGGGTGAAAACGCGGCGCGCCTAGCGCACGCGACCTGTCCGGGTCAACACCCTTCAAGTGTAGATTTAAGATTTGTTTTCTTCTAGTAAAGTCAGAAATTCAAAATTATCCCAATGTGTTTCACTCTGTTAAGCATTATACGGCCTGATATAACGCATGCTACAATTCCCCCTGCAATTTCTGCATTATGCACGTTCCGCATCGAGCAATTTTACTGTATTTTT